TTTGGCTACTATCTAGTCCTACGACAAATATGTCATCACTGGATTGAAAATGATTTTGTTAAATAGAAGCTTATATAAATGTTTATTATGATATTTAGATGAAGTGACAAAATTGACGTCACTAAAAGTAACAAAGACACAATCCAAACTGCCATTGCTTGTATTCAACCCTATCTCTACATGTGCCAAATGTTCGGGAGTGGAGTTGGAAATATTATCCGGTTAGTTTATTGATTTTTGATTTTATAGATTAGTTAAGAAAAATTTGAATGCATATTGCATACTATAATTTAAGGGTCCAAATTTAAAATTCGTCTCAAGCCTAAAAAAGTCAAAGTTCAATATCAAGTTTGACCACAGATTTAATGATAGTAAAAATATAAAACAATATTACGAGAATATTAAAAATGACATAGTTTATGTTATACATGTTCCTTGCATATTCATCACCATTGTTCAGTGCAGGCATTTACTTATAAAAAGGGCACCTTTCAAATACCCTTTGTGCACCCATTACCATAGACATGTATTCCCTTAGATCGCCCTTTCATTTCACTGAGGCAATCTTTTTTATAAAAAGGGCTGTTGTCACTGCTTTCTCTACGAGCAAAATTAGAGGCTTTGGTGGCCGAGCCCTCACTCTCACTCAAACGCCACGAGTTGTACTCGGGGTTTACTTTTTGATTTTGGGTTTGTAGCCGATTACAACATCCGTTATCCAGAAAACCCACATTTATGATTGATTTTAGACAAACAACAGCGTTAGGCTGAAGAACACCAAATCTGAAGTTCAAGTATGGGCTAAGGTTTATGGAGAATTTCACCAAGAGATCCAATCGCATCGTTCTAAATCCCGAGTACCGTAAGAACCGTGAATTCGCCAAATTTAGCAATGATTAAGCCAAGGCTCCATCTAACTTTGTGGATGACTAAGCCAATGGGTTTTGAAAGTTGGGAATATTAGGCCAGTACCCTGGTTTTATAGGTGTTTTGATTAATATTCTTAAACTTTAATTAAACATTTTAATGAAGTATTAATTACGTTCAATTGTTAAAACCAAAGTCCAAACAGCATTTCCTCCCTCCTCAGAAACGTATCCGAGACCAAATCGTATCCTCCTCCAAATCGTTTTTCAAAATTTTCATCAACATCATCCCGTTTTTCTCCAAATCTCGGTGGGTTTTGAAGATTAATTATATTCCAACATCATTCATCCACGAATTCACACTTCCATGTATAAAAATTTCAAGAAATCNCCTCCTGTTCTTGATTGTTAACTAGCTACTGCTTTTTTAAGTTCTGTCACTTTTTATAGTGTTTGTCACTATTTTCTATTACTTTTTTGATTTTTTGGTCACTTTTTTGATTAACAAAATCATTTTTTTATTAAGTGAGATTGTGTTACATTGTCACTTACTTAATTTTATATATTACCATCTCGGGATGTCAAAGTTGCTCGTCAATTTCATAAAAGTGACATTGTGTCACCTTTTTTAGTTTTTTGTCACTTTTTAAGTTTTTATCACTTTTTAAGAAGATAAAAAAATGAAATAATATGTTATATTTTCCTAATATAATCAGCAAGTGGATTGTCATGGACGTGCTAATTATTTTAAAAACATGATTACTGGTGCTGCACAAATGGATGGTGCTATTTTGACATTTGTCACTTTTTTTGAGTTTGTCACTTTTTTGAATTTGTATCACTTTTTGAGAGTGTGTGTGTCACTTTTTTGAGTTTTGTCACTTTTTTGAGATTGTGTGACTTTAAAAAAAAAAGTGACAATTTTTATTAAAAAAAAAGTAACATTGTGTCACTTTTTTCATTTTACACAGTATTTTATACTTCCTAAAAACTTTTCATATGATTTTTCAAAATATCCCTAATTTTAAAGGTATTTTTGTAAGTAGCCCTTGAAAGTTTCCATCCACTACCGAGGCTGGGCCCAGAGCTCAATGCACATAGACTTAAGGTGGCTCTGCCCCTGCAAATGTCTACTCTTGTTTTTTTCTTTTCTTAATTTTTTTAATTTTTTAAAATTAAAGGTAATGACAATTTTTTATTTTTTAACAAATTATGACTTTTAATTGAAGACAAGTGCAAAATCGTCCGTCAGAAATCTATTGTGCTACTTGTTGACTTAAAAAAACGCGTCAACAAAATCCCGGCCATTTTTCCTCCATGTAGACATCGTCTGTGCACTGGTATATCCCGTTAGGATCCGAAGGTCGCAGGTCGAGAAAGAGGTCTGGTCAACTCAACAGCTAAACAAGAAATAAAGAGAGTGCAAAAGAGGGAGAGATAATTTAGCTAGGATTAGAATGAAAATATACCTTGATTGTGAATTGACACACACACACACACACATATGAAGCAAATGGGCCAAAATGAGCTAGTGGGTCGGGCCTAAGCCTAGGCCCAAAAATAGATTACTGATTAAGCAGGTCCAATCCAATTAAATAGTTGATTTCGAGTTGGCCAATGTGGACCCCTTCGGTCTCACGTTCATGCTACGTAATTTATAAATATAACAATAGTCTCCTAAGTTTGAGTAGTATATTCATGTGCAGGTTGGACTTCAAAATATAAGTTGTCAACTAGGAGGGCTTACAAATTACCTCAAAAATATGATCAATGACAATAAGTGAGGATTTACGAATTGCTTCAGAAAATATGCATTGATTCCAAATCGACAAGACCTTACAAATTACCTCGAGAATATAAGCCGATATGATTTACCAAAATTTCAACAGCATCTCCTTTGTAATATGGACTAAACCAATTTGAAATACAATACAATATGTCTACTACATACATATAAAATAAATTGGGCCCATTTGAGCCTTTCACATGCTCATGACGATAAAGTGAATAATGACAAATCAAAATTTTCCAAAATATAATATGCAGAGAGTCTATTATGTATCATAGTAGATAATGTGTCGACGATAATAAAATGATAATGTAGATGATGTGGCATGTGTATTTTGCAACAATAATATAATGTGTAGCAGTAATAATGTATTGCTACTAAGATACTAGTAGCACAATAGCCCTTAAGTCTAATTATGGATATTTATATAATGTATGGACTTTTTAGATAGAGACGAAGCTCTGAATATAAGCAATTGTGACAAGCTGATGTAAAGACAATGCTCTGAATGTAAGTATCTATGATGTAGCTATAGCGGAGGTGTTACTCTGAAAGTAAGCAACTGTGATAAGTTGATGCAAAGTCGATGCTCTAAACTGAATATAAACAACCGTACTGACATCTTTGTATGGTGGATGGTTCATCCATACAGGGGATAATGTAAGCTCTTTGAAGATAAGTACAGTTGTAATGCAGTTGATGTAGAGTCATGATGAGCTCTCTGAAGATAGATATAACTTGATATAGCTAATGTAGAGGCGTGGCTCTGAGTATATATATAAGTACATGTGATAAGCTAATCCAAATGAATAATGAGCTATATGAAGATAAATGCAACGGACACAAGGGATTGAGCAGACGGCTCGTACAAGCATTGGAGGCAAATAACTTGCCACGCCTGGAGAAAGTGGTGAGGTAGAGGAATATATATTTCGCGAAACTATGAAATCTATCTGACGAAGAAGCATATAAGCTCCCATGAGACAAGGAATAAACATATCGCGAATGACTCTTTCAAAGTATCAGAGACTTATAAGTTGGCCTTAGATGGACAAGGTCTTATAGACCTCACATGGCGAGGCATCTCATAGAGAAAGGAATAAATATCAAGTGGATGGCTCTCTTGAACTATCAGAGACTTATAAGCTAGCCTTGGATGGATGAGGTTTTATAGTTGAGCTCGACGATAGTGAAGGACGAGGAACAAGCATATCTCGAAGTCAAAGAATCCACATCGTGAAGTGGGGAATATACACCCCGCGAAGCGAGAGAAAAGTATCTCAAGTGGTGAGGCATCTCAAAGAGCGAGAAATAAGCATCTTACGTGGCAAGGCATTTGGAAGAGTGGGTAATAAACATCTCACATGGTGAGGCATCTTGAAGATCAAGGAATAAAAATTTCGCATGGCAAGGCATCTCGAAGAGCAAGGAATAAATATCTTGCGTCGCGAGGCATCTCGAAGAGCGAGAAATAAGCATCTCGCGAGGCAAGGCATCTTAAAGAGCAAGGAATAAACATCTTGCATATAAGATCAGGAAATGCTCCTTTTGCAAGGGCAAACACGTTTGACTATTTGTTACTTA